GTATTTAATTATTTTTATAGATATTTTATATTTTTTTTATAGGTTGATTTAAAAATTGTCAGCAATATCTTACGTTAAACCCTCAAATTTATCTCACATTCTTGGATAAATCCCTAAATTTTTATTGGAACAAATAAACACTTAAACCTATTAATTTAGGTAATTTAACTCTTTTTTTTATGATGAACTTAATGTCGATTTGTGCTTTATTTGCATGGATATGTGCTTTATTTACATAGATAAGGTCAATACGTACCATATAAGTATTGATATATCAATATATTGTCCATGCAAGCAATACACAAATGAGTGTGAAGTCTACAGTCAAGAAGAGGGGTTAAATTGCCTAAATCATATAGTTTAGATGTTTATTTGCTTCAATAAAAATTTAGAGATTTAATAAAAAATTTAAGATAAGTTTAGGGACTTAATGTAAGGTTTTTTCAAAATTGAATTGTGAAAAATGACTTAAGAATAATTTTTTTATTATTTTTTACACAAATTTAAGTGTTATTTAAATAATTATTTTTTTATTTATTTAAAATTCATGATATTAATTTCACTCATTAAGCTTTCTTTGGATTGGTGGATTTGGAGGGGAAGAGTGGGAGAGAGGGGGGGTGGATGTTTCTCTCACTCTATTTGTTTTTCTTCTTTAATGGAGAGGGAGAGAGAGAGAGGGTAACAAAGTTCTCTTTACTCCATTGATTTTCATCCTTTCAAATTGGGGGAATTGGGATGGATTTGATTAACATATTTAATATTTTTTAATATGTTTAAAAAATCAATATATAAAAATATTTTATTTTAATTATTGTTTTAATTAGTAAATTTTAAATATTTTATTTTATTTAAATTATTTAATTAAATAAAAATATTTTCCTTGAACAAAGTTAATATATGCTCTTTTCTTTCCTTCACTTTTTTTCACTTCCTTTCCTTCCCCTTCCTTCCCTCTCCTTTATTAGTTTTTTTTCAAACAAACTGTAAGTGTAAAAAAAAATTTATTCCTATATCATTGTACTTGAATTATTCTTGCACAATTTCTTGAATATCAACTTGAAAAATATTTTTGAGAGGTAAAAATTAGAACGAGCCTGCTTTT